AAAAAAAAAAAAAATTAGCACAACCAAAAGCCTGAAGAAGGGTGACCTTTAAAACTCATATCTGAATATTTTCCCTTTAATGTACTGATTTCACTAGTTCCATAAAACTTTAGTCTAAACAAAAGGTATTTATTATCCAGCACAGTGAGGCCAGTGGTGATTCACATTGTTCACTCTGTCCAAAGGGAGATGCGTGATAATTTTTGACTTGCAAATTTCCTATTGCATTTCAATGTAATGGAAAGAAACATTAGTGTCTTCAAAAATTGTAAAGCAAAGTTTCAGTGCATAAAAAGAGTATCTTTTATCCCCATATTTCAGTTTTATGAGATTGGGTTGGATAAATATGCTGAGAGATTTGCATTTTATTGTACATTTTAAAAAAACTGGGCACAGTAAATACAGACTATAAAACTAAGTCAAGAATTGGCCTTTAACAACTGTATGCAGCTTGGAGTGTAGTTAAATCTTGGTGTCATTCAGAGGCAGGTCTCGCCCTTAGACATGTATTCACTGTGTGGAAATCAAGTTTATAAACACTTCTGTATAATAGAGTGTGATCCATTTAAGACAGTTCATGTAGAAGGTCCACCCACAGATTCAGCCTTTCCCCATGTTCCTTCACGATATGAAAAACTGTCCCCTGAATTGTCAGATATGCTATTTCAGTGATCGAAGGAGGACCCCTGGAACACAACTACCGATTGAAGCAGTTCCATTTTCACTGGGGGGCCATTGATGCCTGGGGCTCTGAGCATACCGTGGACAGCAAATGTTACCCAGCAGAGGTAAGTTGAGAAGCTTGGAAACAGTGACAACTGTGGAGAAGAGGGGATGGTTCTGAGTTCCTAGCTCTAAGAAATTATCAGGAAGAATCAAGTAATTCCTATAGATGCTAAGTAGCTCTCTCAGAGGCATATTTGATTATTCCCAGTTTACACGTGTAAAAATGATACCTACTCTCATTTCAAAGAATATAGCAGAAATCAACCTTAAGATTCTGAAACAGAATTCTTCCAGAATTCTAAGCTAGGCTCAAATGAAAGCCTAAAGTAATAACCCAGACAACAGTGCAGGGCCACAGGCTGAATTAATCCAAGTGAGAGATGGCAGGAGACTAAATGAAAGCGGTGACAAGAGAAATAGAGAAAAAGAGCACAATTTAACAAGCAGTTTTGAAATAAAAGCAACAGGACTTGGAGGCAAGGTCGTCTTCAGGAGAGGAGAGGTAAAAAGTTAACCATGACCTTGAGGGTCTCACTTGGGAGGTTGGGAGAGGATTCGTGAATGATGGACAGGGAATGATTTGTAGGGAAATACAGGGAGCACAAAGGAAACAGAATTTCTTCTTAACAGCTTTCCCCCTAACTTAGTTTTAAATGTTACTGTACAAAGAAACACATTTTAAGTGGTTATCCCTCAAACAAATTTGTCTTCAACTCATAGTTTGCATAGGGAAAATCTATTTCTCTCAATATAAACATCTCTCCTTTAGATGTAAATGGATTTTGGATATGAGTCTTTCATGCAAATCAGGATGGGAATGGACAAATGTTGTTCCCTCACTGAAATGTTACTCACTTTGAAATATATAGAGAGATATAGATATGTAAATATATATATAAAATTTTCTCCCCTAATAAATCCTTATATTCCAAAGTAGCATTAATTGCTGCTCCCACATACATTTCCTCCTGTTCTTTATTTCTATCTCATTTTGCATCAGATTGTCATATGCTTTTCTCAGTGGCTTTATTTTGGGTGAGGAAGCATGTTAAAAATATATGTGAATAAGGCTGTCTGTTTTGGAGCAATCCTATATGGTCATGTGTAAAACCATCTTTTAATGGTGTTTCAGCTGCACTTAGTGCATTGGAATGCAGTCAAATTTGAAAATTTTGAGGATGCAGCACTGGAAGAAAATGGTTTGGCTGTGATAGGAGTATTTTTAAAGGTAAAAAAAACCTTACTAGCTTTAAATAATGTTTTGTATCCTAGGATGTAAAGATACAACACTGCAGTATTAAGTTCTAAGAATACTGAGATAAAAGTAAACAATATTTAAAGTACAAGATTGTTACAAATAGATTTCAAATGGTATAAAAATGCACAGTCCAACAGAGCTGTTACAAGCCACATGTGGCAACTGAGCAGTTGAAATGCAGCTTCTTTGTGGAACTTTTAATTTTAATTAATTTAAATTTTAATTTAAGAACTGATGCTAAATGGAGCAGGGCTCCTTTGCCCGCAGGCATGCTGACCCTGTCAGCAAACAGCCTGCTCATTTGTTCTGTGTCTAATTAAACTCAGTGATGTTTAAAACATTCTAAATTACCAGTTTAAGTGTAGCTTAAGTAGAGTAGTTGGTTTGTTTTTATATAGTCACCAGGTGGTTAATTTTAATTCATATTCTGTTACAGTTTCAAAAGTGAGATGTCAATTTTTTTTTAATATTTTCTCATTGCTTCTTTAGCTAGGCAAACATCATAAAGAGCTCCAGAAACTGGTTGATATTTTGCCATCAATTAAGCATAAGGTAATTTTTTTTCCCTAAATCACTTGAAATATATTTTATGTTTCAATCTCAGAGTGGAGACACTAACAAGGCACTTTGATTTGGGGAATGTAATTCACCTCTGTGTAGTTCAGCACTCGGGGACTCGGGGACACAACGAGTCCCCTCCTCTACTCCTGACCCCTGCTCCTTCTCAGTCCTTGTGGAAACACTCGGGGCAGCCTTCTGGACTCTAGCTGCACTCCCACAAGCAGGGAGCAAAGAAAAGTTGACAGAAACTTGGCTTGTCCAGCTTTAAAGGACAACTACCCACATCCTTCAGGTTGGATACCTCTGTCCAGATTCCACGGTTAATCATTCAGTATTCAGAATCCCCGAGGGGCTGCTCTCTGGAAGTCTATCTGTTCTCTCTCTTTCGCTCCCCTCCAAGCCTCTGTCTCTCTCCCCTACCTCTTTCCCTCTCCATCTCCCTCTTTTTCCTTCTCTCTGTCTCTCTCTTTCTTTCCCCTTTTAGTCCAGGATCCTGTCTTCTCCTAATTTGCACTGCACTTTAGAAAGAAGAATTATATTAGTCTCTCTTGAAAAAGAAAATCCTCCTTGTTTATGCATCAGCTGCCGCCTAATGCCTCCCAAAGAGTTCAGAGGAGACCACCTGCTGTAAACTCACTAGAATGGAGGGAGAAAATAGTTTTTGCTGTGTTCCCACTGGGGACTACCAGAAATACAGTTAATTGCAGGAACAGAGCATCAGCATGATTCTGTCCTAATGTGCCCAGAGGTACCTGGAGCTCCTCGGGACCACTGCTGGTCCCCAGACTCCCCTAGAATCATCACCACACCATTTACCACATCATCAGATTCCAGAGTGGTTTTCACCATGAAATGATGACTCAGTGACCCTTTCTCTTGGCCAGGACACACTGGTGGAATTTGGGTCATTCGACCCTTCCTGCTTGATGCCCACCTGCCCAGATTACTGGACCTACTCAGGATCCCTGACTACCCCACCACTCTCTGAGTCTGTCACCTGGATCATTAAGAAGCAGCCTGTAGAGGTTGATCATGATCAGGTACATTCTTTCCACATTTTATGTAAGGAAATTCTAGGCTGTCCATTTAAAACAAGGCTGAGCTCACACTTTGGCATCAGTTTTTAATATCTTGTGATGCTTATATATTTTTATTAAAATGTGCTAACATCTTGTAATTTGGATATGAATTAGGAAATGCTTCAAATCAACTAGAGAGAAGAGTTAAAGCTTAGGAAACATAAGTTTTTACTTCTGTATTTGACAATGACATATTTTATGCATTGTCTATTTTATATTTAAATACGAATCTCTATATAAACAAGATCCTTTTAAAGGGAAGAATGAAGGCTGAAAATGGATGTGCTCAAAACTCTAGAATCTGTAAGGGAATTTTGCTATGGAATATTAGGATAAAAATAGAACCCAACAAAGTCTATCCAGAAATTTTAAGTCAGTTGTTTTGACCTCAGAGTCTATTTTTTCATTAGAAACTAAGTGGTGATTACCATGTTAATACAGAAATCCTGTTTAATCCATAATATAACTACAATAATATTTGCTTATGCTTGCTTTATGGTATTTTTATTAATTACAAAGCATGTTCACAAGAACCAAAGCTTCTGAAACCTTTTTTTTTATGAGGCCAGGATAACTGATACCAACATTCATCAAAGATTGGACCCCACCCCCACCCCATAAAAAAACCAAACCATTACAGACTGATATCTCTGAAGAATACATTTTTTAAAAAGCAAAAATAATATATTAGAAATAGACTTTAGCAGTACATTAGAAGAACTATATACTCTGTCCAAGTAGTATTTATTCCAGTAATGCAAAGATGGTTCAATATTAGGAATGATGTTAAGGTAATTCATTATATCAATGAATCTAAATAGAAAAATATAAAAAAAAATCATTTCCATAGATTCTTAAAAAGTACCAGAAAAATTCAGCATTCAGTTTTTCAAAAATCTTCAGTATGATAGGTATGTATGGAGACTTCCCTACCTTGATAAAAGAAATTGATCTCATCCCATGCTCTTGGATTGGAAGAATCAATATTGTTAAAATGGTCACACTGCCCAAGGCAATCTATAGATTTAATGCAATCCCTATCAAATTACCCAGGACATATTCCACAGAACTACAACAAATCATAATAAAATTTATACGGAACTATCAAAGACCTAGAATTGCCAAAGCATTACTGAAGAGAAAGAAAGAGGCTGGAGGAATAATTCTCCCAGACTTCAGACAATACTATAGAGCTACAGTCATCAAGACAGCATGGTATTGGTGCAAAAACAGACATATGGACCAATGGAACAGAATAGAGAGCCCAGAAGTGAACCCACAAACTTTTGGTTGACTAATCTTCGACAAAGGAGGCAAGAAAATACAGTGGAATAAAGACAGTCTCTTCAGCAAATGGTGTTGGGAAAACTGGACAGCAGCATGTAAAGCAGTGAAGCTAGAACACTCCCTTACACCATACACAAAAATAAACTCAAAATGGATTAAAGACTTAAACATAAGACAAGATACAATAAACCTCCTAGAGGAAAATATAGGCAAAACATTATTTGACAGACATCTCAAAAATTTTGTCCTAGAAGAAATAAAAGCAAGAATAAACAAATGGGACCTAATGAAACTTACAAGCTTCTGCACAGCAAAGGAAACCAAAAGTAAAACAAAAAGACAACCTACGGAATGGAAGAAAATTTTTGCAAATGAAACCGACAAAGGCTTGATCTCCAGAATATACAAACAGCTCATACGACTTAATAAGAAACAACCAAACAACCCAATCCAAAAATGGGCAAAAGACCTAAACAAGCAATTCTCCAAGGAAGACATACAAAATGATCAATAGGCACATGAAAAAATGCTCAATATCACTAATTATCAGAGAAATGCAAATCAAAACTACAGTGAGGTATCACCTCACACCAGTCAGAATGGCCATCATTCAAAGATTCACAAATCACAAATGATGGAGAGGCTGTGGAGAATGGGGAACCCTCCTACACTGCTGGTGGGAATGCAGTTTGGTGCAGCCATTGTGGAAAACGTAAAATATTCCTGAGGGACACAAAAGACTTGAACTGATAAAATTCATTTCATGTTATTGAATAGGAAGACATCATAAAGACACCTTTGATGACAATTCTGCTTAAGTTGTTATTCTTCTTGAATTGTTTATTCTCCATAAATTTCAGGTAATCCCAATAAATATATCAATAAGACTTTTAAATAGGTATGCTACTTCTAACCTCATGTGGAAAAAAATAAGCATAAATAAATAGCCAGGAAAAATTATGAAAGAGAAAATGAAAGATGATCAGATCAACAAAGCTATAAAGCCTCAGTAATTAAGTAGTGTGGTACTGGTACACAGATAAAGAGATCAATCACAGGATGAAAATCGTAGATTCAGAAATATCTCCAAACACATGAGAATTTAGTTTATAGTAAAGGTAGCATCTCAGCTCGGTGTGGGGCAAATATAAGATTATTCAGTAAGTGCTATTGGGGACAATTGAGCAAACTTTGGGGGGAAAAATTGGATCTGCCATTCAAACCTTACATAAGAATGTACTCCAGATATATTTAGTTATTTAAATTATTATTATTATTTTTTAATGTAGGAACTGGGGATTGAACCCAGGACCTTGTGCCTGCTAAGCTTGCACTCTACTGCTGAGCAATACCCTCCCCCAGGTTTATTAAATGTTAAAAATACTGTCATAAAAGTACTACAATAAGCACAGGAAAATCTTTCCAGACCTCTAAATGGAGAAAGCTTTTCTAAATTATACCAAAACCAGAAGTCATAAAGATAGTAACTAGCAAAGTAGACTAATTTTATTTTTAGTTCTGTGTAATGGAAATCACCATAAACAAATGACAAAATACAGAGTTTACTTATAAGCCTGGGCTTGGTGGCCTACACCTTTAGTCTGTTTTTATCCTTCATATTTAAAAACTGATATAATATTGAAAAATAAATAAGTATAATAAATAAATCAGAGAGTCAGTGGGCCATGTGAGGACTTTTTAAATGAAATTTCAACACAGAAAATTCAGTAAGAAGAAAATGTTAGCTGTCATCAGTAATCCTAGTTGCCTATAATCTTACCACTCAATGTTAACTGTCTGGTCTTTTATTTATATAAATACAAATAAATCCTTCTGTTCTTTTATCCATGTAAATATACACAATTTTTTAACAAAATGGAATCATTCTGTATATACCATTTTGCTGCTCTTTTCACTCAGTGATGTGTGGAACATTTTATAATGAACGTTATCTTCAATATCATTTTAATGGCTATGTACTAGCTCATTTTATAGATCTAATGTAATTTATTATTGGTACTTGGGCTATTTCTACTCTTTTGCAATTAGTCAAATAAAAATAAACCTGAACTACTCAAACACCTTCCTAATGAATGGGCGTATACATGTAATTTACAACTAC